AATCGCAACACGAATTATCTCCCTTCTTTCTATCCAATCAGAACACCTGTTAAATCGACTTAGATTCAACTTGACTAACACAAGCAAATGTGGGGCCACAAATATCCCCCATCTGCCGGGGACTTGTGTTGATGTTACACACAAGGCGTTTAATGGCTAGCTTGTCCGTTGTCAACGAGGGATGATGGAGACGCCACTGATCCGCCATAACATGACTGAGTTCTGTCTAGAAGAAACGTTTGCTCATCGCGCAGGGGAAGAGGTTTAGTTTTCTCGAAGCATACAGAAATTACCGAGGCCTTGCGAATGATCACTTTTGAAACGTCGCTGATTGCACAACTAAATCTGATTGCCTCCAATCACGAGTCTTGAACGCTCACACCATGAAAGGGCCGTATTAGAACAGAGGTTACGTAGGAAGATATGACAGGAGTAACCTCTGTGGGAAGAGAATGTGTAACGAAGAGTGTTTCATATTAAATCCAATTATGAATAATGAAGAAAAAGGTTTAAAAGTCTGATGAAAACGAATTTTCATAAAACTGTCAATTTATCTGTCAGTTACTGTTTACTTACCTTAAGTGATTAAAAGCCAGTCCCTTGTAGAAATGTCCCGATTTCAAGCGTAAATGTGGTAGCAGATGATGTTAACTCGATACGGAAATACGCTATTGCAGCTGCGCAGAATTACCGGACGCGCAGAATTACCTGACTTACTTGTACATATTGTGTAAGGCTATCAGGTGTTAATATTCAGAACTAGTTGTATTCAACATTTACTCACTTATCATTCAGATACCCTAACTCTGTTTGTATAACACATATATCATATGACCATGTTGAATACAACTAAAAGACTATAAATAGTCCCTTTACTTGTAAAACAGCACAAATTCTCAAGTTCTTCATCACCATGTCTTTGTGTCCATTTCACAAACTAATTGGCCTTACAGGAGAAAAATATTGATGCATTTCTTAATCTCCCTTTAGGGCGGTGGAATAGCCTAGTGGTTAAAGTATTGGCTCGTCACACAAAAGACCCAGGTTCGATTCCCCACATGGTACAATGTGTGAAGCCCATTTCTGTTTTCCCACGCCGTGATATTGGTGGAATATTGCTAAAAGCGGGGTAAGACCACAGTCACTCACTTATTCTCCCTATAAAAATGATAACGTGTACTTATTGTATTACCCTCGATACACAAGGTGTATGCTCAAAGCGCTGACATTATTACCAGGGTCAAACTCATTGGACCAGTGTGCACTCCAACCCAAGTTGGCTGTGAGGTGCTAGACAGTCAATAGTCATGGCCATCTCATCCCACCAGGTACCCATTCACTGCAAGGTGAACAGAGGCAATTTTGAACAAAATCACTTGCCTATGTTGAGCCCTTATGGTACATGTGCTTCATTGTGGGGCAGGACAGAAGTCCTAGAAACTTTCAGGGCCTAGATTTTCGAAGCTCTCTTAGCGCTAAGATAGTCATAAGTACCATACATTAACATTAACTTACGACTATCTTAGCGCTGAGAGAGCTTCAAAAATCTAGGCCCAGGAGTCCAGCTGCCAAACACGGTCACCCATCTAAGGACTCTCCACGACAATGATGCTTAACCTCGACTGATTAGCTGTGCTAATGCACAGGACCACATCCACCCTTTATATAATGACTGTATGAGCCAGTGACATTGATTGTCAATTATTTGGCAGGAATTGTACAAAAGCAATATGATTCAATTAAATCACACATTGTGATCAGTCTCAGGATCGGGTACAAATCTTAATAGTCACCAAACAGTTGATAACATGATCTGATCTTGTAACTGAACCTTTTAATATGATTGAATGACTGTAAGGTGACGGCTACTGGCCTGTCCATCCTGGATACTGATGTATTATATTATTACCTACAAGGGCGAAAATATCAGGGTTCATATTTTTCATACGATGCCCTAGGGCAAAATATCACTTTGTCATGGTGATGTGACGTCACGAACAATGCTATGACGTCACATTTCGTCTGTGACGTTGCATTCTACATGCGGCGACGGCATGTTACAAGCCAGCCTATGTTTGAAAGTAGATTTGGGTTTATTTTCCTCAATTGGATGAGTTTGGTAATAAACAGAATATTATATTTGTGCCCATATCATACTATGTTTACAACACTCGTGCCTTGCAAATATCGATATATTCCTCGCTCTCGCTCGGGAAATACCAACATTTAGGCACTTGTGTCATAAATATAGTATGACATTGGCACTCATATAATTATCCTCTATATTTTAAGACTTGTGCTGGTAACTGATGCGATCAATGAAATTGAATATCTCATGATTAATGTGATATTACAAAGGAAGTAAACTATCAGGACCTACTGTCAAGCTCCATAGCCACTATGGATATATTAATGTGATACATTGTTTTCACAATATGCTTAGATAGGAGTATGTTGCCGAAACACAGCAACAAATATGGCTGCAAATCTTTTGTCATTGTGTGAAAAAATGGGCTGTGTATATTGCTGCATTAAACGGCAAACAACCAGTTGCAATTCTCTGAAACAACAGTCAGATGTTGTTGGTCGGACCCTATTCACAAAGCAACCCATGCACTACGGCAATCATAACTCCAATGCTTTAACATAGACATGTGGCTATCATAGTGCTTTCATCATCATTAACTCATTTAATAGAATTGGTATTACACGGAAGCTTGTTTAGTATCCCTCTATATATCTCCCAGAATATAGCAAGATCAGGTTATACTGACCCATAGACTGAGACTGAAATATGCTGAAAATAATGTGGAAACATGTTCAGGCAAGTCAACTCAAACGCTTCTAGCAGATTGTATTAATGAAAAAAATCATTTGATTAGTAATATTGATTTGTGTAGTAATGATTAAAAGCAAGACTCATGTTAATTTTCCATGTCTCAGTAGAAACCCAAAAAAAATAATTGAAAACGTATCTGCAATCCCTTTCCTAGTTAAAAATGATATTCTGTGAAGAATTTGTGGTGATATACAAAAAAGTATGATATATCATATTGAATATCTATAAATCTTAGTTTGTAGTCTGTAGAAATTTTTAATATTGAATACCTTAAATTTTCAAATGAAACTTTAAAAATGCATAACAGACGAATGAAATTTTAACTGGTTACTAAAACAGGATATAACATATGTTATATTTGGGATTACACTTTCTCAGTAAAGTACAGATTCTATAGTACTGTCGGAAATAGAAAAAAACTGTATTTTCTCATTTATCTCTACAATTTATGTAGTTGATATGTGAAAGTGTGAAATATCTGTTAAACTAAGTTCGGCCTAACTACAGTCTCAGTGGTAGAGAGATAGGAAACTGAGAAAAAGGACTTTACTGAGGGGAAATTAGTGCAGAAATGAGCAATGCGGTTTTTTTCTAAGTCCAAAAAGACATATTTGGAACAGACCATGGCTTTATGCAAATTAGTGTGCGACGATATTGTATTACAAAGGACACTTTTTAAATGCCCCTTTTGAAATTAGACGTAGATTCATTATAAACGATAGCTGACGTAAAAAATAATAATTTTTATGCCGAAACTATTAAGGATGTAGCTACCATGCAGTCTCACTGTCACTATAAAAAGAAACAGATAGGAGGGGTGGCCTCAAAAGCAAAACCTGGGGTCGGGCTTGGGGATAACAATTTACAAATAATATCCAGTCCTGTCGATCTTCGGGTGGTCATGCCACCTATATACTACGATGCGTTTCTATGGTTTTCAGGTATCATACTCTCTTACATATCTCAACATAAACTTTATGAAAGAAAGACACGTAAGATGTTAATCAGTAGATGAGACATAGTCAACACACATGAAAAAGCACAAAATATCTTTGAGATGACACCTTGTGCCTGTAGGCAGAATGTGCATTTCATGCCAGGTGAGTCGACGGTACGTCGTCACACCTGGCTGAGCAACCTAATTGCCGTCTATAGTCTGATCTATTGTTTTCAGCAGCTTTTCGTATTTTTTCTAAGTTTTGCCCTATTTTACGAGTAAACATGCTTTTCTGGATATCGTATTACGCATCCCACTGAATGCCCAGTTAGGCCGACATGGGTTATTTCGACATATGCTATTTGCAATTGTGTAAATTTTAGGGATACAGAGTAACAGCCTAAAAACAGTTTTTTTCTATTTCCGACAGTACTATAGTACTTTTTTGGGTTGAGTTCCATCCGGGATTCGAACCCACACCCTCAGAGTCAGGCACCTAATCGCCAGCACACAAAGTCAGACGCCTAGACCGCTCAGCCACCGCGGCTTCCACAAAAATGGAAGTCGGACAACTGGTAGTCTAGACTGCGGACTTTGTGTACCCCTCTGATAAGCGTTAATTGGCACGGCTCCCACGGCTGAAAGCTTTTGAAATACACAATGCCATTTTAGAAAGTGGTCAAATGTAACATATGTTATATTTGGGATTACACTTTCTCAGTAAAGTACAGATTCTAGTACTTTTTTGGGGTTGAGTCCCATCCGGGATTCGAACCCACACCCTCAGAGTCAGGCACCTAATCGCCAGCACACAAAGTCAGACGCCTAGACTGCTCAGCCACGTGGCTTCCACAAAAATGGAAGTCGGACAACTGGTAGTCTAGATGCGGACTTTGTGGGACTCAACCCCCAAAAAGTACTAGAATCTGTACTTTACTGAGAAAGTGTAATCCCAAATATAACATATGTTACATTTGACCACTTTCTAAAATGGCATTGTGTATTTCATAAAACAGGATAGTTCTGTATTTTATTGAGGTAAAAATATATAACCTTGGTGAAGGCTAAAACTTTACTGCGACTGAGAAAGGGTTAAGTATGTGTGACATCAATGTGTATACAAATTTATGCCTGATTTATGATAATGTAGGTAGTGTGGTGTTCTCCTAGCAACCCTCATTGATACCAGCACAGTGTGTGTCACATGACATGCATGATGCAAACACTGTGAGAATGAGCATATCGGTGGCATGTGTGACACACTTTCTGATAATCTGAGGGATAGCCAGGCTGGCAAATCGCCAAGCCGTCCCAGGCTCAAAAACTAACTAGGCCTCATCCAAATGTAGGTTACGTCAAACTTGTAGGGAAGCAGGTAGGAGCTGGAGAAGACACTGAGATTTTAGGACAGATTTCACGCTGGATTTGTAAACCTGGACATTGGCTATGGAGTTTAGGAATGTGATGAGGATGATGTGAGGTGGACAAGCTGCCTCAGCATCTTCCTTGTTGGGACTATGTAATGCAGGATGCTCGAAGGCTGAGGTTGGAGGGGGAGGGAGGAGGAGGACCAGGCTGTTTCAGGTGGCTGTTGTTTCCTTCTCCTGTCACAGACTTTTAAATGATTTTATTTGATTCCTGTCCAAGTCAACGAGAGATGGCTTGTGAAAAAATTTGTGACAGAAGACAACAACGGGCTGAAGACAGCGGTATGCGGGAAGAGTGGATTTGGTTGGAGCTTCGTGACAGATCTTTTTATCAAACAGCTGAGACCTACTGAAATGAAGGTGAGAAATGTTTCATTAAAGTTAAATATGTTTTAAAAAGGTTGAAGTGTATTTTGTAAAAATTACTGTTATTTTACAGTAAATAGATTATTTTTGTGTGTATTTTACAGATTTTAAACTGTTTCAGTTAAATCAACAACTTGTTGCTTGTCATGTCATATACACAACCCAAGAATCTGGGGCAAAGAAAATGTATCTAATTTGACATTTTCTAAATTATTTACCACACTGATGTCCTGAGAGTGTTAAATGCTGTTATATACAGTGTGGTCTAGATTGGGGCCGGGAACATGTTGTGGTACAACATTGCCAAGCCTACCATTGATCTCTCGGCAAATCGATACTGTGAATGCGGTAAATGAGGTCACTTCGCCCACAGCCCAGAAATAGGTCAACAGGTCATATTGTACTTGGTGGAGAAGAATCAGGTCAGCCCCAAGCCTGGTTATATATAGTGGAGGTACTACAGGAGTACCTGTATGCTCAAGCTCATGATTTGTGAACACCTTGCCTTATCAGGGCAGTGTTCATTAGGTCTTTTCATGCTTGTGTTCGTTGTGGGCATTTACTGGGATCAATGAAATAAATTGGTTTTAGTGACCAGGGATTTAGCTGGAGCTGTATATGGGCTGATATTTGGCCCTGAGTCCTCACCAGATGCCTGTAATAATCTCCAAACTAGAATTAGACATTAACCAATTCATCCTGTCATAAATGGGGCTTCTGTTTCACTGAGCTTGAGATTGTGATGCTTAAGTTGTTTCTTTGAATTTAATGCCAAATTCAGTAATATAATGCATTTGAAAATAGGATAATAGGAACATTTTGAAAATTTCTGAACAAAATTATCATTTTTCCCAAACTGACTGCCAAGGACTGAGATTTAGGAGCAGTTTTCAGTTTTCAGGGAGCCAGGATATCTAATGTGCTATTTATAGTGCTGACATAGCATTTTACCATTTGACAGCCCAACTGATGAAATTGAATGCATTTTCTGTTCTGAGTTTGTCTGTTATAATTCTCTGTTTCAAATGTTACTGTAGGGGAATAGTTTATCCATTACAACAATAGCTGTTAAAGCCACAGTTACTTTATTTATATCTTACAGTGTGTATAATTTTACATGACATTCTAAAGTGAGCTATAATTGTCCAATCAAACTGCTGTAGTGGCAGTTTCATCTCATCTAATTAAGTTGTGTAGCTACATCTAAGCTAATGACACACTCATTAATAATACTGATAATAACCAACTGACTGATAATGTAGAGACATACTGATAAAATGGTGTGATGTTCAAATTATGTGGTCATTGATAAACTGCATATTGATCACGAATCATTTCAATGTGTTGACAAAGATTTTGATCGATCATGTGTTCGACCTCAAATGATTGAGGTGGTAATCTTCAAGGATTTGAAAGGTGAGAGGTTCAAATTATCTGGTCCTTCATGAAGCACTGTCGACATTTTGATAACACGTCCGACGTCAAATGATTATGCTCATAGACTTCATGGACTTTTTTGTGCTAATATTGTGAACAAACTCTCAATACTCTTGGGGCGGTGGGGTAGCCTAATGGTTAAAGTGTTCGCTCGTCACGTTGAAGACCCAGGTTCGATTCCCCACATGGGTACAATATGTGAAGCCTATTTCTGGTGTCCCCCGTCGTGATATCGCTGGAATATCGCTAAGATCAGCGTAAAACTAAACTCACTCACTCACACATTACTTTGATTTTTCTATAAACTGGAACTGACTAAATCAGAAACTGAAAGAAGAAATATAAAAAAACCCATTTATGTGTCATCTGAAAGGACAAGCTTCAAAGACTAAGGACTAATGAAATAAAGTTTACCTAAACCTCAGGACTAATCTAAAACTGAATTTCAAAGGCTGCCTTATGTACATATCATATACCTAGTTCATGTTCTTAAACATAAGGGGTGGTGGGGTAGCTTAGTGGTTAAAGCATTTGCTCTTCATGCTGAAGACCCGGGTTCGATTCCCCACATGGGTGCAATGTGTGAAGCCCATTTCTGGTGTCCCCTGCCATGATGTTGCTGGAATGTTGCTAAAAGCGGCGTAAAACTACCCTCACTCATTCACATAATTCGGCAATTTGCTTGAGTTACCATTAGCAAGTACTAAAATTCTGACTGTAACAGACTCGTGTCTTTCTGGAACAACTTGGCCATAAGTACTGAAGTAGTCCGTGAAGTCCCGGGTAGCTGGAATTGTTGAGTGATCAATATTTATTTCCCATTAACCTAGATATTAACACTGACTCTGCATGACTGTTGAAATATCCATATGCCTGTCACTCATTTCATTTTCTGATTACAGTGACCTATATCTCAAGGGCTCGTGCTATCTTCTATAATTATATCTATATACATCTCCCCACGTCACAAGCATGCTTCTGGTTGTATTCACAGGAATTTTATGTAGATTCCAGTTATGTGCCCATGGGAAATTTTGGGGAAAAATGTGTCATTTCTCAGAATTGGATCTCTTTACTGTTATTTTTGTAAATTCTGAGGTACTGGCAATTTGAAATTAATATTAGGAATTTTTACTATCATTTGCAACTTAGGGCTGAATATTGGCCTCTGAGCAAATTTTCATAAATAGTGATTAAAAAAATGGAGCACTTCACATCACTTATCCCTCAAAATTGAGTCCTACGAACCAGTGTGAGAAATAGCCACTGGCCCGGTAGCCCGTGGCTAGTAAAAATCCAGTCAGGCCAGTAAATCTCCACAATCACTGGCCTGTCTGGCAATTAAATTTTCATGGGGTCATTTTATGAATATATCACTCACTTGTTACGTTATAATACACTTTTAAATCATGCAATATTATGACCTGAAAAAATGTTCATCATATTTGCAGCTTAATGATGAAACCCGTGTTTCATTCAAATTTCAGGCTAGTAAATTATTTTGTGGGCTAGTAACTTTCAGGCATAGCTAGCCCAGCTGGCTAGCAAAATTTGGAAACTATTTGGCACACTGCTTCAAGCACAGTTTTCTATTGTTCATCTATCTTAAACGTTTTCATCAGAATGCCAAGGAAACTATTAAGCAAGCATTATGACTGACAGCAGGCCATGTAAACATGTAGAATTATGGTCAGATATGCCCATGCATTAGGATCAGATATGCCCCAAGAATTAGGAACAGAGATGCCATGCATTCTGGTCAGTAGTCTGTCTCACAGTCCCTGAAGCACATTATTTTCCCTATTGCCTATCCCTCCCTGTAATGCAAAAGCCCTAAATGAAGCAAACCTCCATTTCCTTAGGTTCTGAATATCCCATGTCATTGGGGCTGCTTTTTAATGACCTATAAATGGGTCATTGTACACCTGAATATGTTGAATATCAAAGATCTTGTGCAGATATAAAGGAGATTTGACAAGAAGAAATATCTGGACTCATATTTTATATATTTATTGCTTATACACCTGCAGAAATCACTTGTTTATATATATTTTTTTCAGTTACCAAGCATTAGTCTAACAGTGAAACAGCTATATACCAAGCTGATGCAAGTGTAGAATATTTGTCAAGTCAAAATTGCCTTAGTTAATGAAAATGAAGAAAGTCTCTGGGTTCATTCATATCATAACTTATAAAGATTAATTGGAATGCGTGTTTTTTCTGTCCAGATGTTAGTCTCGAATAACAGTAGTCATTGGCCAAAACTGTGTGTTCAGTGAAGCACAGTGGTAACACAGTAACACTAACCCTGTTTATGCAAACACTTCTACACGGAAGCTCTCCCACCTATTTAGCCTTATTTTCTAGGGCTCTCTAGATATAGATCTTGAGATCGATAGCTAAATAGCAATCAATTATCGATAAATATCGGAGACATAACTTTGAGAAAAAATGTCTTGTGAGTGGAGACATGTTTTGCATGGACTACCAACAAACCAGCCTCATGAACATAATTTAGAAGTCCTATATTTGTATGTTGTTTGAGAAAATTACATCTTTTTTCTGTCACAAAAGTTAATGTACGGTATTATCAATAACACACTTTTCAGATCGATAATCATATAATATATTATTTTTCCTGTGAACGATATTTCCGATTATCGATCATTTTAGCCAACCCTGTTATTTTGCAGCTGTATATCAAGGAAACATTTAAGTATCAGGCTGGGGGACTACAATTTGTGGTATGGATGTTTGTAAATGTGTCACCCGGACAGCATGGGTGACACTCATGCTGTCAACCTCTGGTTTGTCTGGTCCAGCTCATTATAAGGTCTGACATGATCAAGATACAGCTGAAATAATTCCAGAGACAGTTTTAAAAATACCTGTCCAGGAAATGTTTTCCACACCCTGAGGTTTCAAAAAGCGAGCCATCAAATATAAGTCATATTATCATAAGTATCACTTGCTGTCTGTGTTTATACAACCATAGACAGATGAGAGTGTCGTCTGTTACAGTATCCCTGCTGTTTTCCAAGCATATGTATTGTACTGTCAACCAGACAGACAAGTGAAAAGGCCACAAAAATATGTCAACATGACCTGTGATCGTGGGTAAGAAGTCTTGTTTACCCTGAGTAGAATTGAATATCATGTATAAAGTCTTCATCACTATACCCATTTCCCCAAGGTCGGAAACATCTACATCCTGCATCAGTTCAGCTTGCCTTCAGGGCTTTAGCCGAGTGGTTAAAGCATTCGCTTGTCACGCTGAAGACCAGGGTTCGATTCCTTACATGGGTACAATGTGTGAAGCCCATTTCTGGTGTCCCCTGCTGTGATATTGCTGGAATATTGCTAAAATTGCTGGAATATTGCTAAAAGCGGCATAAAACTAAACTCACTCACTCACTCTCTCAGACTTGCCTTCCAAGTCAAGGTGACAAACAGTAGAAGACCAGTACTGATGGAAGCTATGCTCGTCCAGAGTGACACATAGAGTATACACTGTCATGTTGACATGGTCCCACTGACAGTTTGTATTGTATCTGTTG